TATTTTAAGTTATTCAGAATGGCGACAATAAAACAAAGTATTAGCAATAAATTCAAATTGCAGTACAAAACATTATGGAATTTTGTAGAGTAAAATTGAAATGAGGTTATAATTTTGCACCATCGTTTTTCTAAAATTTTCAAGTCAATTAACAAAATGAAACCAGATTCTATTATAAATGAAATATTAATCAAGGAAGATATTAAGCATTTGAATAATTTAAAAATAAATATTTAATTAATTGTGAGATCTTGAATTTTGGGTGAGGTTATAAATTTGCACCGCACTGTATATATATATATATATATATATATATATATATATATATATATATATATATATATATATATATATATATATATATATATATATATATATATATATATATATATATATATATATATATATATATATATATATATAGGGGAGTTGCAGTATTTTGAAAACTGCAAACAACCTGATCTAGATATAAAAACTTATTAATTACTAAACTAAACTAGAACAATCTGTCTTTAAGTAAAAATAAATGTTTTAATAAAAAAAATTGATGAACATGGTATATTTCAACATTACAACAACCCTTGCAAATGATCAATGTACCCCATGCGATGGGGTACTATGATCTCTGATATGGGGCGCTTTGATCTTATATGAGTAACATTATTTACATTTTTAATACTGCTATACCAAAGTGCTACAAATGCATTAGTTGAAAGGTATTAGTGTATATTATATAATACATCTAAAAAAAGTAAAATTTAAAACATATATATATATATTTTTCTTCTATAAATACCAAGAGCTACGTTTAACCTGGACATTTCCTAAGTCGTACTATTTATCTGTTCCTATTGAGAGTCCAACTTGACTGGATTTTAGTGTATATATATGTATGTATGTATGTATATATATATATATATATATATATATATATATATATATATATATATATATATATATATATATATATATATATATATATATATATATATATATATATATATATATATATATATATATATATATGTTAGATATATTTGTATAAACACTTAATTATTTAAATTGTTAACAGTTAATATCTTAAATATATCGTAAAATAAAACCTTTTGCGTCTTTTTCGTAACTGCACATTCCGGAATGCTCCTTCCGTAAGGAGCTATTTCGTAAGTATTTTTACGAAATGATTTGTTTCGCAAGTTTTCTTTCGCAATGCTTTATTACGGAATTTTATTTATTTATATTTTCGTATAGTGTGTTACGGAATGTGCATTTTCGCATGTGCAACTTCCCCAATAACAATTCTATTACTGTAGATAAAGATGTGAAATTTTCGCAAGTTTTGTTTTTCGGCGAACAACCCTGTATTTAGCTCGTATATTTTTAAAATTCTCATTTCAATAAAATTATGCTTTACGTGAGAAAAGCAATTTGCAAAGCAGAATAAACGGATTGCATGTTTCTGACGGTGATAAAGACGTTGCTACTTACTTTTTTCTGTACTACCCCAGGCGATTTTAGCATAATTTAAATAACTGTGTATAAATGAATAATAAAATTTGATTAAAATTTTCTTATTGAGATAGATTCGTGCTTTATATAAAACTCATATGTTTTTTAAAAGTTTAGTGCTTATGTAGTCGATATGATTATTCCAAGTGATGTTTTCATCAAGATGAACCCATAAATATTTTGTTTCGGAATCCCTTTTTATTTTAATTTGATCGATAAAAATTTTAGGTAAGTTTAATGGCAAATACCGTTTTTTGGAAAGCGAATGGAATAAGGTCCACTTTGTTTTATCAATTTTAAAAGTCCTAGAGTATATTATGATTTTTCAAATGATTTTGAGATTTTACGTACAAATTGGATAATTGTTCAGTTGAACAATCCTTTTTAAAACCGAATTGATTAATGTAATTTATTAACATGAAAATATTTTTATACTCTGTTATATATAATTCTTTCTAAAATTTTTGAAAATGTGGAAAGAACAGAAATGGGGCAATAGTTACTAATAATTGATTTGTTCCGTTCTTTGAAAACACGAGTTCAGGGAAAACACCTTGATGGATAGCTTAAAAAACTTTAAAAAGAACAACTTTTAGCTGTTCAAAACAATCAACTTTTAGCTGTTCAAAATAATGTTTCTATTTATTTGATCTGTTCCAATTGCTCTATTTTTAATGATTTGAAGTTTCAAACTCTTTGGGTACTAGAAAATCAATAAATAAAGATTTGGTCTTAGGGATTTTTGAAAATGTTGGACATACATCGATACAAAATTTGTTAAATTCTTGAGCTATAGTTCTTGGTTCATATAAACTTTTGTTATCGACTCTAACCATTTGTGGCAGAAAACCTGAGCATGATTTTTGTTTTCCAATAATTTCATTCATTATTTGCTATGTGCAGGGTGTATTGTAGCTCTTAGTTGTTATTTTACTTTCAATGATTTGGAAATTAGCATCATATACAGAAAATGAAAGTTGATTTTTGAATTACTTTTTGTGCGGTTAAAGTTTTTTTCAGAGTTTGTATTATCTAATTTTAGGAATATAGGGAAATGATCTGATATATCGGTTTGCAAAATACCTACTTTTAAATCATTGTTGAAAATATCTGTAGTTATTATATTATCTATTAGAGTTGCTAAATTATAAATAATCATTCTGACATTACCAACTATAGACCTATATCAATATTTGCTGCTATAAAAAATAGTAGAAGTTATTTTTATAGAAAAACTACACAAATTTTTTTGTGGGGTAGGGTAAAAAATGAATGACAATTTTATTTTTTTACCTGTTATATGTATTCTTAACAGTTTAAATGTTTGAACAGTTTTACTTCTCCTGATTGTCTCTGATTTGTCAAATATTCTGAATTAACGAAATATTTTTTATCAGAATCGTAACAGTCCAAGTCCATGAGAAAACTAGATTTTTCAACAAACTAAAGTTTTAATTATGATGTTTTTGAAATTTCAACTCAAAAACACTTTGTTTTTGACAACATTTTATATCTCAAGAATGTTATTGATCCATACAATAGATTTCTAAAAATAAATTGAGAACATAAATATCAACAAAATTTGATGCGGAAAAGTTTTATAACATTGAATTGATAAATATTTTACGATTCTAAATCAACGGCTGTAAAAATTCCAGAGTAAAATTTCCGCCGGTTGAATTTTCCGCAAGTAAAAGATTTTATAACATTGACCCCAAGTCATAACTTTAAAGTTGCAGATAAATTTTTTACATTGCTAACTTTGTTGGATGTACTCAAAGAGCGAGCAATTTTGTTTGTAGACACCATTCATACAAACCGTTTGAACAAATGTCCGTTACTATGTGAAAAAAATTTACGTAAAGATGGCCATGGAAGCTATGGTTATTGTACTGAAACTTATTTTAATTTAGTTTTGGTACGATGGTATGACAATAAAGCTATCACTCTGGTATCATCATGTTGGAATTGAACCGGTTCAAACTGTTAAACGATAAGACCGAAAGTATAAAAAGTATATTTATGTTCATCAAACTCATATTGTTAAAACATACAACAACTATATATGGGTGGAATTGATAAGCTTGATATGATATCCATTTTGTAAAATTGGACTAAAAACTTTCAGTTTGAATTTAATGAAGATAACATTGAAGATTTATTTCCAATTTCTTCTAGATAGCAGAATGCTACCTAGTCCCTGATTTAGGATTATAAATAGAATTTTCATATTCTTTGTTTATTATATACTTTTCAAGTTTGTTTATGTTATTTAAAAAAGTAATTGTTATATTATTTATTATATATATATATATATATATATATATATATATATATATATATATATATATATATATATATATATATATTTGAATTTGTATCTAAAAATACAAGATAATAAATCTCAAAGTGCTAGGTATTATTAAAGTCAATTCACAGAAAGTTGGAATTATTCTGTGAAAGCATCTTTTCAAACTTGTTTTTAGAGTTTCAAAGCAACATGTCTGTTAACGTTTTGCAACATACATTTAGACAAAACATGCAAAACTCGAAAAGAATTTTTAAAAAGTTTGTTAAAGTCTAGTAGACTCATTTAAAATCTTGTCAACTTAGGATGTCTTTTAAAGATATGTAACCTTTTTTAAAAATCTTTTGAGCGATTTAGCGTCTTCAATACTAAGTAGAAAGATTTGGGTATTTTGATACTTAACTTAAGTCCGATATTCTGAGATGTTATTTTATATTTTGACCTTTTTTTACTTGTGGTGTTGCTTAAGTTACTTTTAAGGCTTATTTAAATATAAAACTTTTTTCAACTTTTTTCATAAAAAGTATTGAAAAAAAAATTTATAGAATATCTATAAAATTTTGTCTTGTTTGTTCATATTTGTCTTTCTTTTATGACATAAATATGAACAAAAGTTTGGAGTTTAGAACCCTAAGTTATTAAACTCAAATATCAAAAAATCCTATATTCACCTTCGTATAGATATTCGAGGAGTAAATTTTCCAACACTGTTAAGTCCCAAGAATTAAAAATTTGAGTTCACTCCATATACTTCAATTATACCGAAATCTATTATTTATTTAAATATTAAACCTAATAGTAGACTCTTGGTCATAGTTTATTCGTTCTAAATATTTTTATTTGCATTATAACTTGTTATAACAAAATATTATTTGATATTGTTAAAAAAGAATAAACATGCTGTTTCTATAGAAACTAATTTTGCTTAATAACATTCAATCGGAAACTTGTTATCATTCCAAAGGAAATGTCGTATAAATAAATTATACTTTCATTGAAAAATGGTTGCTTAATAGTTTTTATATAAATAAACTGTGCACACACATTGTTTAAAATAGAGAAATATTAAGTAATACGTAAAATATAAGTTTATTTAACTTTTTTTTAAATTAATAATGAATAGTTTTATATGCTTGCTTAAAAAAAAATCACAAAGTTAAATTTATTCTAAAAATACGTGACTTCTACTTAAATTTTTTTACGTGAATTTTAAATGCTTTATAGAAAAACACTGTTTACTATTGGTTCAGACAATTTATTTATGATTTCAAGTTGAAATAAAACAAAAGGTGTTATATTTAAAGTTAAATGGTTTCTATAACCGTTTATAATAACCTCAAATTACTTCATGCTTAGTTTGCTATGTAATTTCCCGTTAAATTTTCAAAAATTAAGTTTTAATTATGCAATTCTATTTACAGCCCGACGAGGGTTTTCAAATTGCCAGTCTAAATAAAATTTGTATTTAAAAAAAAGTGGAGTTGTTAAGTATTTAAGGTAATTTTGTATTGTTAAGAAATGGAGTTGTTAAAAGCTATTCGAAAAAATAGCGACTCAGAAGTAAAATTAATATTAAAATCTGGATTCAATCCCAACACACTAGTTCAAGAATACGACAACAAGATGCACATATACTACAATACCATTCCACTTTGCGTCGCTGCTGCCAATGGTTATGTTCAAATCGCTCGTTCTCTAATCAAACATGGTGCTGATATAAACGCTAATAATAACGCATGGTCTTCGCCTCTTCACTTAGCAACTTACTGTGGCCACGAATCAATGATAAAAATGCTCATAATGAAAAATGCTAATATAAATCTTCGAGATTCTCGCGGAAATACTGCGTTACACGAAGCTTGTAGATTGTCACGTGTAGGCTGTGTAGATCTTTTTTTAAAGTATAATGTAGACTTAACTATTAGAAACAATGATTTTAAAACTGCTTTTGATTTGGCAGAAGAAAAAAAAAGTAAAACCATTATAAATCTTTTGAAAACTAGATTAAATGATAAAAACAACGCGTACATGTCAATTTATAAAACGGATAAAATCGATGTAAAAAACGTTTCAAAAAAAAACGTGCGGTTCCACGAAGAGGTCACTTTGATTATAGATGAATGTGGTCTTGCTAAAAAAGGAGGTTATTCTTGAAGTAATTATTTAATTAGAAAAAGATATATAAAAGCAAAATATACAAAAAAGCAATCCGCGGCTATAACATTTTTAAATAAAGAACAGTGTATACTAAAGTTTTGATGATACCGCATCTAACAAAATATAACTAAACAAACTTTTTAATTTAACTTATTTAGTTAATAAATTTTTATTATAATTGTTTTATACTTATTTCAATTAGTTGGATTTTTTATCACTTGTTTTAGAAAAATTCGTGATTGTGTACAGTTGTATGACAAACTAATATGGTTACCTAATAAGATGGGCAAAATTAAAAAAAATTTTTTTTGAAAAAATGTGTTAAGTAATTATATGGTAAAAAAATATTACTATTGTTTTTTATTTTATTTGAATTTCATGCTACATTTTGCTGCATAATATTCTTATATCCGAAAATATTGTTGGCATAGCACTGGAACAGTCACAAATAGTCATAAAGATTAATCCATAATAGAGTCCGCTGTTGAGCATTATTTTTGCGTACCGAAGTACTACTCAAGCGCTGAGTTCGGTTGCCGGACTTGAACTCGTATTGCACATTTGTCACACGCTCTAACCAACTGAGCTGTCCAGTCACGGTGGAAATTTAATGTCGTTGGAAACTCTACCTTAAATGGCAGCCATTTTACACAACATCAACTTGAAACATAAATTCAACCTCTTCGTCTGTGAATAGCCTTCCAAGTTTTTTTAAAATTGTTTTATTTAAATTTAATAATATAATACAATAGTGCTGTACACTTAAAGAGTGATGAGTCCAAACTACGTAGAGTTTGTAACTTTAACAGCTGTAACACACTAACATACAAACATAATAAAAGTTAGTATTTAAAATGTTCATCCAATTTTTTTTTGAACTGGTTGATACTGACTGCGTCTATTGTTTCTTGTTCAAGATTGTTCCAATCGTTTACTACTCTATTTGTGAAAAAATTATGTCGTTTTATATTTCCTGTATATTGCCTTCTCAGTTTACGATTGTAACCTCTAGTTTTATATCCGTTATCTAGCATTTCGGGTTTTGTGTAAAAATTTATAATATCGTACCCTTTCAAATATTTGAACATTTGAATCAAATCACTCCTTCTTCTTCTGTTCTCCAACGATAGTAAATCCAACTTCTTTAACCTCTCTTCATAACTGTATCCTTTCAAAATTTTAATTCTAGAAGCTCTTTGTTGGACACACTCTAGTTTATCTTTATCATACTGACGATAAGGATTCCAGATAGGAGCTGCGTATTCCAAATATGGACGTACTAAGGCTATAAACAAGAGTTTCATTGTTTTTTCGTCTAAATATTTAAAAGTGTGTTTGATCTGACCTAGCTTTTGATTTGCTTTATTTACTGCATTATTTACATGGTGTTTCCATTCCAAATCATCTGAAATGTACACTCCTAAATCTTTTTCCATGCTTGTGTAGGCTAAAGCTGTATTATTAATTAAAACTTTGTGCTGGCTATTTTCTATTATCATAACCTTACATTTTTGCTGGTTGAATTTCATCATCCACTCATTCGACCATTCCATTAATAAGTCTATATCTTGTTGAAGTTCAATAACATCATTATCGTTTTTTATTGCTCTAAGGATTTTCATGTCGTCAGCAAACAGTTTACAACTTGATTTTATTTTGTTGGAGATTTTTTTTTTTTTTTTTTTTAATTATCTTCGCTTCCAACAAGGTTGCAAGCAACCACTAATTAGTGTTGGAAGTTACTGGAAGAGAAAAGATGAAGATTGTAGAGCGAGATAACGATTGACAGACGACTTAAAATATTGCAAATTATATGAATCAGGAAAGCAAGATGAAGAAAGCGAATTCCAAAGAACTGATGTTCGAGGGAAAAAACTAGACGAATAAGAGTTTTTTGGAGCACTTAGGAACAGTAACAGAAAAAGGATGAGACTTAATTGAATGACGAGTAACACGAGAATGAATTTTAGTAGATGGCACAAGAGACGCTAGCTCTTTAGAGCAGTGCCCATTATAGTATCTGTAGAAAAGAGAAAGAGAAGCAACATTACAACGATGTGACAGAGGTTGAAGGTTGGCTGCAAGAGCAGGTCCAACTATGTTTACAATGCGTTTTTGCACCTTGTCTAAAAGAGAAAGGGCATCATTAGAAGATCCGCCCCAGATATGGCAACAGTATTCCATACAAGGCCGGATTTGAGATTTATAGAGATAGAGAATAGAATCCAGAGTAAGAAAGTGACGAGCTCGATAAAGAGAAGCAACTTTAGCAGATGCTAATTTTGCAACGGATTTGATATAAGGTTTCCAAAAAAGATCAGAAGTAAGAGTTAATCCCAGAAGATGAAGGGTAGGAGACTCATCGAGTATATTACCGTTCATAAATATAGGAAGGTCTAAATTATTGCGATAACGAGTGGCCGAAAAAAATTGAGTTTTATCTGAATTAAAGTTCACCAGCCACTGCGAGCCCCATGCTGTAGCAGAAGTGAGATACTTTTCGAATTTAGATGCCCCCTGCAAGCAATCAGAGGGAGTTGGCTTCTTATCGTGACAAGAATAAATGGTAGTATCATCAGCGAACAATGCCACCTTAGATGTGAGAATATCTGGAAGATCGTTAATGTAAATTAAAAAGAGTATAGGGCCAAGGATTGAACCTTGGGTAACCCCTGAGGTTACAGAATAAGAAAAAGAGTGCTGTCCATCAAGGACAGCTTTTAAACTACGATTGGAAAGGAAGGATTCAATAATCTTAAAGATGTTTCCAGATACACCATAAGAAGAAAGCTTATGGAGGAGACCAGCATGCCAAACTTTATCAAACGCTTTAAAAATGTCAAGAGCAATGGCCTTAACCTCTCCACCTTTATCTAATGCGCAATAAAATCTATCGGTTATTACTGATAGCAAATCAGCCGTAGAACGAGAAGATCGAAATCCATACTGATGATCAGAAAGTAGGTTATGAGATTCGAGATGAGAGATTAAGTGTTTGTTAATTAAAGATTCAAAAACCTTGCTTATGATAGGAAGAAGACTAATGGGACGGTAGTTAGATGAGTCAGATCGCTCTCCAGAATGTTTAAAAATAGGGATAACAGATGCTGCTTTCCAGCAGGCTGGAAAACAAGACTCTGATAAGCACTTGTTGAATAGTTTTGAAAAGATAGACGACAGCTCAAGAGAACACTTCTGCAAGACTATAACAGGTATGTTGTCCGGGCCGCAAGCTGTAGAAGAGTCTAAGCGGGAAATCACTTCAGATACAGAAGCTGGAGTGATACGAATGTCGAGCAATGGATCAACCTGTTTGACGGGTATACCAGGTAAAACGCAACTAGTGGCATCAAGAGATGATATTGATGAAAAGTTCTTGGCAAACAATTCAGCTTTGTCTTTAGGTGAGGTGACAAAGTCTGAACCGTACAAAAGAGGTGGAATTACAGACTTGCCCTTATTATTGATACTATTAAAGATTCTCCAGAAGTCACGAGAGCCTAATTTTTGTGATGAAATACAAGATTTCATGATCTGAGAATAGCGGGTTTTGGCGTTAGACAAAACCTTTTTACAATGGTTCCTAGCAGTAATAAAGAGACGTCTGTTTTCTGGAGAATTGTTTTGCTGATAGATATGGAAGTAATGGTTTCGATTGGCAATTGCAGCAGCACAATGTGAGGAAAACCATGGAGAAGAGTGAGGCTTGACCTGGAATCGTCGAGAGGGAATAAAGGATTCCATGCCAGCCTGAATCCACAAAGTTATGTAAGAAGCACATTTGTCAACAGGAAGACGAAAGATTTCTACCCAGGGGCCATCACGAAGAAAGTCATGAAAAGAGTCCCAGTCAGCTTTAAGGTAGTTGTAAGATGTACGATGATAGGGGGATTCTAATGGTAAAAAAAGAATGAGATAGTAGTTTTAGAGAGACCAAACCATGATCAGACGCACCTAAGGGTGAGTGTGAAGAAACTGAACACTGACTAGGATCAGAAACAAGACATAAGTCGAGTAGAGAAGGTAAATGATTCGGGTTGTCTGGAAAGCGAGTTGGAAAGTTGACTATTTGAGTTAGGGATTGAGAAAGACAAAAGTTGTGGGCCTTAATGCCTGCAGAGTCACTGACACTAGAGCCAAGCCATTCAGTGTGATGAACATTAAAGTCACCGACAACAACAATATTGGCTGATGGATAAAGAATGAGGGCTTGGTCAATATAATCAGAAATAACATCAAGAAGAGTGCAGTCTTGGGATGAGGGAGAGCAATATAGAACAAAGAGAAAGGTGATAGAGTGAAGTGGTACTAAACGAAAGCACATAAAAGAGTAGTCTGTGGATTCAAACCTAGTTTCCCGACAAATGGGTGAATTCTTACGAATGTAAATGCCCAGGCCAAGCATGTGACTATTGGAGTCTTTACGAATTAAAGGAAGATAACCATCAACACTAAGATCACAAGATGAGACAGCTGAACTCAAGTTAGTCTCACAAAGAGCAAGCAGGTCTGGTTAACTTTGCAAGAGATAAGACTCAACAGAAGAAAAGTTACTTCGAAGACCACGAATATTGGTGAATGATAGGTTTAGCGAACTTGGTGATGACTGCATTTTTTGTGTTTTATAGTTTTTGTTACTTTATTCATTTTTAAATTTGTTAAAGAACTTGACTCGAAACATTGATAGTACTCAGCACACTGTTCTATAGCTCAAGCAATTGCCTCATTTCCACTAATAAACCCTAAGCCGTAACAAAGGGCTCCAATGTGGCCTTGGCAATGCACACCAAAAGTACAAACAGGGACACCATCCATGCGCAACATGGCACTGTTAGTACTCTGATATTTTTCAGCTGTTGATGGAATCAGCCTCTCTGAGAGCAACCACAGAGTTTGGGAAACCTGACTACCAGCCGGCCTCAGAACCATAAAACTGAGTTTTAGAGCTGTACCCTCATTTGGAGATAATGGAATGAGTTGCCTAGTCATAAAAACAGAGACCCAAGCAAAACCCATGAAACGAGTCAAGATGATCCAGCGTTCAACATCCTAAACTGGAAACAATGTATTAAAAAAACATCTGCGCCAGCCTAATAGATGACGAAGGGGTGCGAGGCTGGTCAACAGATAGAATCTGTTTACCCCTTAAGTCTTTGCCTAGGAGGCCTTCTAAAAGGCAGCAGCCGGATACATGTAACATTCGCCCAAGATGAGTATTTTTATTGAGACACCATCTCTAGCCTTTACTCAACCAAGAGTCCCAAGGCAGGGGGTGTTTTATGTCGGAGTTTGCATCTCTATATATATATATATATATATATATATATATATATATATATATATATATATATATATATATATATATATATATATATATATATATATATATATATATATATATATATATATATATATATATATATATATATATACAAAGTAAATACAGTAATACATCTCTTTTTAATAGGCAAGAGAAAGTACAACAATTAAAAAGGCAAATACATGGTTGTTATAAAAAGCGTTTAAATATCATTCTTTCATGATTTTATTAATCACCAATAGATAAAATAAAATTTTTAAGTTTAGTTTGAAAGATCGGAAATGTATTGGATGTATCAAAATTAGGTATAACAATTTTATTCCAAAGAAAAAGTGCTCGAAATGTAATGCAAAATATTGTTCTGCTAATTGGTTCATATGCAAAATTTTTATTTCTAAGTAAATATTTATTAATTGAGTTAAGAGAAAAAAAGTCTTAAAAGATAGGTCAAGTTAAATCGTTTTTCCACAAGTAAATAAAGCATAAAATGTTATAAACATTGAGCTCGTAAAAATTATTTTTATCTCCATAAATAATGGTTGAATGCAAAAAATTGGGAATGAGTAAAACAATCCGCAAAATTAATTAATCAGATCGAATGCTTCTGACGGCGAAAAAGTCATTTTAGCTTACCTTTTTCGGTGCTTCCCCACGCTATGTTGGCATAATTAATATAGGTGTGAATAAATGAGTAATAAAGTTGGGTTAAGGTTTTCTTGTTTAAATATTATCTGGATTTATATAAGAATAGGTTACTTTTAGATATTTTCGAGCAAATATAGTCTATAGGCGGTTTCCATATAATGTTCTTGTCGAGAACCACTCCTAAAAATTTAGTAACAAAATCTCTTTTTATTTCAACTTTATCAATAAATATTTTGGGCAAACTTTTTTTTTGTGCGAGGACGCATACTGATAAAACATTTGGAACAGATTTTAAGACAATTATTACATGAAATAGGGACAGATTGGAAAGTGTGTAATTGGAAAGACACGGCATTGAAAATTTTGTATTTTTTTACAGTAAATATGTTTTCAAAAAATATTTCCAGTACGAAATGTTTTCTACTTAAGACCATAAAAGATATTAAAGTTTTTTAAACCATAAGATGCATCTTCTTTTATGTTGTGCGTCAGGCTCTAGGAAAATAAAATTAGCTTCTGGTTACAATGTCTGACAAAAGAAATATATGTATTATTTGAGAAACTAGTTTATTCTGGATGATCTGATCCAGGTTTTGTATGAACTGCAAAATAAACTTTGTAACAATGTTATTAAGTTGTAAAATCATACGCAAAGTGAAGATTTTGAAGTTAATCTTAGTTTTCTATAGTTAAAAATTTTAAAACTAGTTTGTAAAACTTCTACGCGAACATGAATTTCACGCGATTTTTTTTTACTATACACACAGAACATTGTCTGTTCAATTCGCGCACTTTATATTTAAGTATTCTACATTAAGGACATTTTCATAAGAACATTGATTTATATAAAGCTTCAGTTTTGCATTTATCATCCCAAAAGCCAATCTCATCGTTCTCCATTCGTCAAAGTCACTTACATACAATGAAATTCGGAGGAAAAAAGAAATTAACGTATAACTAGAAACTTTTTTATTACAAAACCAAAACACAAAAAGGATTCAAAAGGGTTAGTTGTCTTAGAATAATAAAACTTGCTTCAAGGGATATATTATAAAACTTGGGATATATAATAAAAAAGATAAATACAAACAAGGGATGTATCACGAAAAGGGATATATAATAAAACGTGCTTCAATGTTTATTTAAATTAACTCGTCTTATTGAAACTAAACACTGTTAAACTATGTTTATGTTTATCAACCTTTTGATTCTTTGGCATCTGGTCTTAGATTATTTATAATCTTATTAAACAGTATTTATAATTTAAAAATGTGTCATTTCATGAATAAGTGCTTATCAGCATGTTTTTTAGTTATTTTTAGTTAATAACTAAAAATAATTTAAAAAAATAACGCTCAAAAATTAAAAAAAAAAATAGTCTTTAGGGAACTGCGTGAAATGTATTTTTCTATTACATTTGTAAATATTTATAAATACAATGCATAGTTATTAAAACTATTCTACATATGAAGAGCAAATGTTTTGTCAACAGTTTTTCAAAACAAAATTCTTGTCGTCCGAAAAAATTCAAAACTCCCTACAAAGAAGTTAAAAAAGATATATTTTTTTTACATTTTTTGTGAGAATTTTTGATTTTCACTAAAGAAAATCTTGATTATAAGCTCTTCATTATTCGAGTTACTCAAAAATATTATATCTAGAAAACATTTGGGAATAATTGTTAAATAAATAAAATAAAAAAAGGATAAAAACAAATTTCTTAAATATGTTCAAAAAAATATAGACATAATTTACAGCAATTTTAATGATTTTCTGTAAAATTGTAAAATTAAAATAAATTGAAAGTAAACAATTATAACAAAAAATACTCCTTTAAACGGAAACTTGGGACATCAAATCAAAATTCGTTCTTAGTAGTTCTTCGTTAGATATCGTTTCAGGAGGTTCAACATTATCTTCGTTATTGGCAAAGTACTCAAGCATTTTCTCGACATCAGCCTGACGAACATTCCTATGCAGACATATCAACGGATGCAATGATGGTAACGTCTCGATAACATCAGCACCTATTAACCAAAATATTTAATGAATGCAGTAAACTAATGAACAAATTGCCGACTGTAAGCAATATAAAAATTGCAGACTGTGGCCAATATAAAAATTGCAGGCTGCTGGTAATATAAAATAATGCGATAGAACCAAATAGTCCAAATAGTTATCAATTGCAATATAAAATACTACGATAGAACACTTATCCGAATAGCTATTCGCAATTTCTGCTTAAAAAATATAAAATAATTTAGCAAACAAGAGTTACCGTTTTACACCGAATCATTGACAAAAAGTTAAGACAGTTGAAAACATTATTTTTTTACATGTGAGCTTATTTAAATACTTGTATTTTTTCATTCTAGTTATCGTCTAGATTGTATTGTGAAGAAGAGCATGCATCTACAAAAATTTATCTAAAAAAATTTAAAGCCTTGCCATGGCCACCACAATTAACCAATTCTCAGTCACATCGAAAGTAAAAAAGAAAGAGAAATCTTCTTAAATTATTAGGGTCCAGTACTTAAGCCAGAGTTAATAAAAACTATAAAATAAATTTCACTTAAAGCATGCCAAATTATGCCATGCAATCAAGTCAAAAAGTGTGTCGCTAAAAAAGACAGTTTTATCAAATAAAACTATTAGCTTTCATGATTTTATTATCATGATGAAATTAAAACATAAAATATTTCTTTTGTGCACCAAACCTAGCACCTTTAGTATATGCTAAACCAATATGATAAAATATGGACCTAGATGTTAGGAAGAGAAATGCTGAAGTGAAAACCTGACCGCGATTTTTTAATTCTGGCTTTCCTCTATAAATTTAATGCTGCTAAAGAAAATGATTGTAAAGAAATTATTCAGATCTCTAGAAAAATAACAAAAAAAATAATGAGTCAAACACAGCATAATCATATTTTATAAAACCACAAAAAAAACTACAGCAATCAATATTCATTTGACAAAATATTGCATGGTGCCGTGTCATGATTGCCGTGTCATGTCATGATTGCCGTGTCATCTCATGGTGCCGTGTCAATATAAATACACATTCAATGTATTTTAACAGTCTCTATAACTTTGTATTTTTCAACGTTAACCTTTTTTTCGACACACCCTTTACCCAAAAGTTTCTAATCCACAAAATTCAGCAGCTGTTATTGCACCCCAAAATGGTGATAGACGCTTAACAGTTTTTGAGGTGAATTTTGGATTTAGTGAGACAAATCAAAGTTGTCGTATATAAAATGAACCTGATCCATATGCAAAAATAACAAAAATACAAATACCGTAAAATCGCCTAAGTTCGGTCACTTAAGCTTTGAACATTTATTTATCACGTCTAAATAAAAAAAGTTCAATTTTTTTTTCCTGAAACATACAGAAAACAAATTTATAATTGATATTATAAAAATAAAAATATTAAAAATAAAAACTAGTACTCAATATTTTGTTTAAAATGAAAACATCTACTTTGACCGAACTTTCAATACCATCGCATAAGTTCGGTCACTATATAAATACTAATATCGTATCACAAACTCAACGTCACAAATTATGAAAACAAATTTTTAAATATTGTTTTATTGTCGAATTATGATATAAATTCAGGTAATACCAGTAACTAAGGAGAGTGTCGCCCCAGACTCGAAAAGAAAAGTGTTTTGGGGCACCAAAAAAAACAAAAAGGAGCACATAAAAAAAGGTCTTTTTTAATATAAGTAGTAGTATTTTTAATTTTTATTGCAATTAGTCAACTATTTTCTTACTTTGGCCATTATCACATTTGCTACGCCACTGGTTAATAAAGTTAAAATATGTTTTTAAATTAATTTAAAAAAGGTTTTTTCAATTAACAAAAAAACACTACTTTGCTTTAAATGAGCTTTGTATGTTTATTGGCAATTCTTGCACATATCATTAACCATAGTAGAACAGCAAGGTCCACACAACCAATCAGGATTCGCAACGCATAATTATCATTAGGCTTTAAATTTCAAAATTTCACTAATTTTTATAAAAAAAAGTAGTTAGTTTTCAAAAATAAATTTTTTTTTTTGTAAATATAATTAATTTGGTAATTTTTAATAATACTAAGATTAAATTTGATCATTTATTTTAATAATTTGCTTATTTTAGATTTTAATAGTATGCATTTTTTCATATTAACATTATTTTTTTTATAGATTCATATTTACGAACTAATTACAAATATTATTTGAGAAAAAAAAGTTTGTAAAATTTGATTTTTGTATACTTTTTTATAATTGTTTTTAAATGACTGAAGTTACATGGTGACCGAACTTAGCCGATTTTACGGTAATAAAAATTATTTTTTTTAATTTTGCACAACCAGTAAAGGTTTCTTCAACATTTCCTTGCAGAGCTTTAAGCACACTAATCTGTGTTTTTCTGAACCATGTAGTTTTTTATTAGGATGTTGTACAGAAAGTTTTATATACATGTTGACGTGCAAAAAAGTTGCTCAAAAACAGTTTAAGTAGCGATTTTATATAAGAGTTTTCTTGCATCTAGGTAAGTTACATTAACCACGGCTAAGAAACCTACCTAAATTACATTGTAACTTACTGCAAATAAAAAAATCACTACAGTAGTACAATGAAAATAATTCATTCAGAGAAAATGGTAAAAGAATTTTATTTAAAACACTGTGTTTTTTTTTATATAACATTATTTATTTAAATAAAACGGGGTTTTATTTAAAGAGGTAAATTTTAAAATGGAGTGAGAGTAGTTTAATATAGTAAGTTTAATTTTATGGATTTTATAAAAAGAAGAGATTTTTAATTACAAATTAAAAATTACCTCGAATAGATATTGATTCTTCTATATTTTTGATTGGAGAAGTTTTGAAGACATTTTTGATCATTTTAGTTATAGAACGTCGGTAACTAACTCTTTGTGCCATTGGCTGTAATGACATGCGGACAGGTGCGCTTGATGAATATTCTACATTGAAAACATCATAACAATATAAATAGCACAAATGGATATAAATGAAAATAGTATCTATTATAAAAAAACTTATATAAACAATAACCACATAAAATAGTACATTAATAAAATTTTTACATAACATATATATAAAACATAAAGTAAAAATAACAGTTGCAAATTAACTTTTTCTTTTTGTTAAAACTTATACAAGTTCGCAATTATGGCTAATTAACACGGATAAGTATTTTGCAAATAAAAAATGTATGCTTGAAACAATTTCTGCAGTTCACAAAAGGTTTGTATATATGCTGCTAAATATTAAAACTATATAAAAGTTTAACTAAATATGCAAACATAAATATGCAATACTTTAAACTTATCTTTGCATAAAAAAATTCACTTAATATATTTTTCTGTATTTAGTTATTATGGATTATTTATTTAGTTTCTGTATTTAGTTATTATGTATTAGACCAAAACAGCCACTATACTAGAAATACTAACACGATTGTTATTGTTTAAAAAATGTTTTAAAATATTTTCTAAAAGCTTTATAAACCACTTGTTCTTCACTTTATATTAAAACTTAAAATTTAACTAAAATGTATAATAGAATTTTAGAATTCACATCTATCAAATATTTTAGTCTGAATAAACTTAAATGTGCTTATTCTCATATCATTAGATAACTGGGCTAGTACCGCTGAAAAACCATTAGTTCCTAGCTTATGCCGCAGTCTTGGTTGTTAAGAGCAGTTGTTGAGGGTAACCAACTGCCCTTAACTGCGGTAAAATAACAAAAGAATTAAAATATAATTTTAAAATTTTTTAATCCAACTAACTCAAATAGTTTTTGCTTGAAAGTTAAAGTTGACCAGAATTTTCTGTGTTCACCCAATAACAAAAATAACAGCCAGTCCACGACTGTTCGAAATAACTAAAATTGCTATTTGACCATGTTTGACTGGTTGAAGAATATCAGAGTTTGGAAAAGCAAGGTTTTACAAAAAAATCACGATGTAATTTGGAAAATGCATAACTAAGACTTCATAAAACTATTTAAATTTTAAAAAAGCATTTAAAATAATTTTGTTTACAACTTGTCTACTTTTATTTGCTTCATTGACGAATTTATAACGATAACTATATCTATTATTTATTTTATTTCTTTAGGTTTCATTTTACTGATGGTTAAAAACATATTTTTCATGAATGATTGAAGTTCTTATCTTATTATTTTAACAAAAGTAATATATTTAATAAAAGTATTTAATATATAATATAAAAATTTATAATAATATCTGTATTTAACTAAAAACATTTTTATATATAAATCAAATAAGTACATTTACATTTAAATGTACTTATTTGCTTTTTTTATTAACTTCGCGTTTGCACATTTTTTGCTTTCTAATATCTACTTGTAATAACCTCATCAAACATCAGACTATCTTAATGGAGGCAAATAAAAAGAGACAAACAACACTTTCATTTTTCAGTAGCATTTCATAAAATGATTTCTTTTAGTATCAAGTATTCAGTTTAATTTTTTTAAATATTAAAAAAAAATTGCTTTTTGATATTCAAAAACTAATTTAACTTTTAATTACCTAAGTTTTAGCAAACTTTCTTTTTAAATGAATGAAATCTGTATGCATGAGAGTTATTTTTAACTATTAACATTTGCAGGTAATTTGAATGTCAGTTACAAGCGAGTTTAAGTTTAAAATTATTATTTTTAAAAGAATGAGTTCTTTAATTTTCAAATATCAAGTTATTTATTTTTTTTTTTTTTTTTCTGTGTTTTAGTCATGAGAATTATTACTAAGATGAAAATTTAAACAAAGAAAAAAAAACTTTGACTGTCAAAAAAACAACAACAACTGACCATGTCAATCCCATGTATTAGCCGAACAAATCAACGGCTTGCCTTCGATTTCTTATTTTTACACCATTTTTAACTCACGCAAAAATGTGACTTGGTGTAACAGCTGTTCAAAAGGCAATGACACCATTTTAAAGTCCATTCGTAGTCATCATACTTTAAGGCACTCAACAACATCATTACAGGATGAGCCATCATGGTGGGCTGAGGTTAAACAGCATGACTTTAAAGCTCCAAATTGAACTCTCTATAAATAGGCTCCATTCACTTCGGTTATGTGTGATAGCAATAGTATCGAAAAGAAGGAAGAAAAAAAAAGAGAAAAAGAGCAGCAAGATCATTGGAGAAGCACAACCCACCTTACTGACTGAGCAAATTGTTTGGTAACACTTTCTCTGATCTGTGACTTGCAACAAATTGTTTGAGCCTGGATATCAGAAGGTCCCCTGTTGACTTGGAATGATCTAGATCTGCGATTAGATCATTGACACCTTTCTGGCTGTATGTCTTCTTACCTCAACCACACCTACAAAACTGTAATTTGTATCTCTGATATCTTCCATATAGGAAAAAGTTTCTAAATAAACAATTTGAGTCACATTTTTGAAGTTTGTGGGATCAACAATGTATAGCAGTTGCTTGTCAGTAAGTTTTTGCCAAATTCGCGAAATAGCAAACTTCATCATTCTCTTTTCTCTTCTGTACTAACCTATAACATAGCACATATAATTAACTATATAAACTTAAAGGCAGAAAATTACACAAATATATTAATATTGGAATAATGTTATATAAAAAAAAAAAAAACGAAATGTGATTTTTAACAGTTTATTTCAATAACCACATTATTAAGTTTTAAATTGCTGCAACCAAGAAAAAAATTAAACAGTTTTTGAAAATGTTATTACACAAAAATTACACTTAGTAAGGCACAACCGCATCCTCACAAAAATCATTGGGGTTACACTTTTTGTGGTACATTATCTTTCCAATTGTAGACTATTTGCTGATTTTGTTGAATGTTTACATACTGTGTAGACATTCTTTGTATTTACAAGTCTAAATTTGAAATACTTACAATTTCAATAGGTGTAGCATTTTTTGTTTCTGCAGTCTTGGCAACTGTTTGAGCTTTTTTTTTTTTTTAAACCATGTGTTTTTTCAGTTCGGCTTTATATGGTGAACTGGTGAGTATAGGTGTTTTGCCCTTTTGGCATCGTTTTTGAGGTTGCTAAGTTTTATTATTCGGAATACTTACAATTTCTTCGGGTGAAGCAATTGTGAAAGAAGCCATAAATATTGAGGACAAAGTTTCTGGTTCAGAGCAAGATGTCAGGGATACATCTTGCAGTGAAATAGTTTGTGTTTGAGACTTGGTGGTTAGATTTGGTGTTGCAAAACCTCAGAAATTTCAGGTAATGACCAATTGGTTGTTTCTGAAGGCTCAAACATCCAATCATCAAAAACTTTAGGATTAAATAGACTAATTCCTGCTTTTTTAAAACCATTTATAGCCATCAACATGTTTGCAGATTTCATAAAAGCTATTCCAAATAGTTCTGGAATCTGATATTTGATCACAACTCTAGGATTATGTGTATGCAACCAAATATGAACTTCATTTGAACAGTGTCTATTAAATGGTGCCATGAAAGAGACATCTAGTTGCTGCAGACAGTGTGAAAAATGGTGGGAAGCAAACAAAAGTAAGATAATTTTCACATGCTTTCATTATGAACTCAATATACTTTTTGTATGTGTCGCATGACCATCTAATAATAGCAGAAGAGGCTTTTAATGACCATCTAACAATAGCTTTTGGATGGCATTAATAATAGCTTTTGGATGGCATTACAAAGAACAGAAAATGTTCGAGCCTTCAAAAATATATCTGTGTGCATCAAACAACTAGGGTGGTACAATGCAATAGTACCCAAAAGAGCTTTTTTCAGAAGTTCCCTCTGGCATACGCAAAGATACCAGGATTGTGCTTTAGAAAGTTTTTTGCCAACTGGTAGCCTCCCATTTCTTTGTTAAAATTATGTGGAACCTTGCTTTTATCAGCTAGCTGACATGCCAATGGTAAACGGAAACAAGCGACCCTCTAGAAATATTAGGTGTTAAGCTAACTCTTGCTCTGGTTCAAGGGTTAAAAAAAAAAAAATTTAAAAACTGATTTATTTACTGCAGAACTACTTAGTTCTAAACTCCCTTGTTGAAGTCTTTTTATTCTGTCTTGCAGTGTTGCTGTTAGGATACAAAATGTTAATGATGCTTTCTCATACCCCTTTTTCTTCATTACTGATTCAATAGCTGCTTTCATGGAATTTTATTCCCAGTATTGCTGATTAGTGATGTTTGTATTTTCTAACCATATTAACTAACCATATTATACAACGGTATGATTAAAATAATAATTCAAAAAATACTTAGTTATTAATCATTTGTTATGCTTTCTAAAAAAGAAAAAAAAATTATATATATATATATATATATATATATATATATATATATATATATATATATATATATATATATATATATATATATGTATATATATATATATATATATATATATATATATATATATGTATATATATATGTATATATATATGTATATATATATGTATATATATATGTATATATATATACATATATATATATATATATATATATATATATATATATATATATATATATATATATATATATATATATATATATATATATATATATATATATATATATATACATTGAACAAAACTTAAACTTGATAATCTAACGAAACTGCAAAATGAAAATGCAGTCCCGAAGTTACTATAGCTTTCTCATTCTTTGGCGTTTGACATTGTTGCCTGCAACAGATGAGATGCTTTACACAAAAAATGACAACAAAGCTTTTTTTTTGTGTGTAACTTAAGTTATTAATACT